TTGTAGTAAATAAATTGATGAACAAACTACCTTATTGCAACGTCCCACAAAGGCTACAAGCGTCATCAATTATTGTGGAATTAAGAAAAAAATATTTTTTGGTTTTTATAGCTATAAAGGGCCTAAAAACGCTCAATTTATTAAAGTGCTACGCAATTATCGTAATGACTTTCCGAGGCAAAGTTCATGGTTAGGAGTTTTCATGGGTTTTACGACAATTTTATAATAAATTCAACCGTTACCACGTTACTGTATTATGACCAAGTAGTTTAGAAAATGAGTATATGGAGTGTCGAGTATCACATATCCCTAAACATGATACGCAGTTAATTAGTAGAACAAGTGAAAACCGCAGAAGCTTTATACAGAGTTACCGGTAAGCGTAAATGTTCATAACCAACCAGTACCGCATCTGGCATTGAACTATATCCAGCGAGCACCGAAATACGGCCACTGTTCTAATTATAGTAGTCGGCTTTCGAAATAGGATTTATATTCTCACGCCAGGCCTCGACCACTAAACTAAAATTATTTTTATTTAATGCTATTTCTGTAATTTTTGTGTCTCATTAATCAAACCAGGAACAATTGTTTCAGGTTCGATTACCGAAAGCATGTATAATTGTATATGCAGAATTTAAAGAAGAAACTTATACGACACTTTCATACTTAAGTAAAGATGATAATAGAGATGATTCTACGTAGATTGATTAGGTTCTACAAACTTACGTTTAAAATATAAGATATAATGTAATATATACAATTATACATCAACATCTTTCATCACAAAAATAAATAGCATTAATAAATAAAGGATCATAGGAGGATATGCCATAATCATCAGGCTTGGCAGACGGATTGGCGTTTAGTTTATTATTACAAAACAAGGGGAAACTGTGCCAACAGTTTGACGTAATACCGTAATACGGTACAGAAGTAATGGAGTACGGGCCTAATCTTTGTTGAACCCAGTGTAAACACTTTGGCACATGCCTTCAAGTTAGATCTTGCACCTGATTGTACCACAGCGTTATTGACAAGTGTTATTCACTTGTCATTCTTCTAGTCTACGTCTATTACGTAGACCCATAAAAAAAATGCCATAATAATATTATGATAACAGTCACCGACAACATTCTGCTACGCCGTCGTCCGATGCCGCTACGCCACGTCGCTTCGCCGCTACACCGCGTCGCTACGCCGCTACGCCGCGTCGCTACGTCAGAGTAGAGGTAGTAAGCTCTACTCTTCCCGCGGTGGATGTCGTAAGAATCGATTGAAGGAGTACCATTTGACAAACACCGGTAGCAAAACTCTCTGATAAACCTAACCCTTCTAACTGCAATTTATGATCAAAGATAGAAAGGAAGGAAGGTTAATGGTTCAGCAGTGGACTGCCACAGACATGGCGAAGGTTTCACGATCTTCAAACAAACATTCGCTCTTACTATTAATGTAAAGTGGGCTTTAGTAAACTTTTACTTCATAACATGAAACCATTTAACCAGTATTTCATAAAAATTAGAGCATAATCTGACCTTTTATCTAGCACAATATTTTACGTGCAAACTGCACCCACAATTGCGAGCATTTTCCCGACCATTTCGTGCCAAATCCAAATGTTGATAGCGCTATCTACATTTACCTTCTTTCTACGAAAGAAACCATTTATTTGGACATAATATACGTAGTGGGACAATACAGAAGAGTTATAGTTAACATAAAAGTAAACTACGACTTAGATCGTATGACATAAAGGAACTAAGTATTTTTATTTACCTACTACTACTACTTGATGGATATTAAACTTATATTGAACGTAAACCATTAAAAGTTGAATCGATCGCATGATATTCGAGTACACGCCAGACGCAGTGCTCCGTTTGGAGAGCGAATAATCAAGCTATGGAAGGTAAAGATTGAATCTATTATCCTGCCGATTTACACACGATGGCGGAGATAGAGTGCACTAAAGTATATCAACATTTACCATACATTTTATCCTTTAGCGTTTCAAAATACTCAACAATAGTTTTCGTCATACTTAATCGCCCAGAGTCAACCACCTAACAAGTTGAGTCGTATTCAGTACTTTGCAGCTAGGTACGACAATAAGTCTATTCCAGTCCAGTAAACACAGTCGGCGTTGTCTCTTTGAAGCAATATCTATATATCTATAGATACACGAGTAATATAATGGAGTTAGTATAAAAGAGTACACGGTTGGAACATTCGCAGCCGTCGCAAGTGTTTATACCCACTGCGTACATAAAAATATAATCGTGGTGCGCGTATATCCGAGACAAGATACAACACGGATGTGGAGAAGTTATATTTTATTTATGATGTGGGCTATAAAGTATACTTCTCTGCCGGACGGCCGGGATAAGCAGAACCACACATAAGTAAATATAGAGCATCTTTGGATAGCTCCACCTTTGAAAACTTATCCCCGAGTCCATAAGCAACAGCACTTAGATTTAATTATACCCTTTCCAACTTAGACAAGTTCTATCTGACGATGGAAAGGAAGGTCCATTAATATCGGTAATAAACTTCAATATACTATAACATAGTTAAAGCCCCGCATGACCAAAGTATTGATTTACTGTTTACTATCTGAATATGAGTTATACGCAATTGACCTATTTATTTTCATCAGAGATATTAAAAATATATTTTCTTTTAAACTACCTAGATTGGAGATATAACGTCATCGCTGAACGAAATTACACCGCCGGCAAAGTGAACGCTGGCTAGCAAATCAAACTAGCTACGCCGAGTTTAGTTAGGTTTTTTGCAGCTTTACTTTATTCAGGCAAAGCCCGGCGAAATATTGTGAAAACATGGATTCGGAACAGTATGCAACGAACGAAGTTTTCTGCAAAAGATCTGTATAGATTGGATTTGGTTAAAATTACCATCAAATAGTATGAATACAATACTATTTTTCTGTTTGTCTATCCATTAAGACATTGCGATTCAAATTCTCCTGAGAAACTCACACTTTGAGTGTAATATGTAAACTTTGCTATAGCTCAAGCTCTGCGATTTTTAAAGTTGAACCTCTCTATAATATTAAAGCACATTCAATATTTACAATTCAATTTGAGAGTTAAGTTAATGACCGAATTATTTACATTACCCATTTTATAGGCTCATGACTAAGTACTACATAACCGAATATCGATCGTGTAGTTGGGAGGCATACCGCGGTTTGTCACATGATGTATGCCGATCACTCACATTCATCGAAATTCCTCCGGGTCCCACAAAGCCCTATCGTTACATGAATTTAAGTATATTGATGCCTGAAATCTCACTACGGGTGTAACAAAAATGTCAAGGTTATACGGATCATTTAGATATTATTATACGTCGAGGAGTATATAAGATTTTGTCTGTCGAGTCTCGAGTCATGTTTTACTACATATCTCATGTATACCATAAGAAAAAGGACAATGATATCATAAGATAGCCGGATGCCGCGGGTTATGGCTTCTAATGCAATAAGTGTAAAGTTTTTATGTGGATTACGGACCATAAACGAAAAAACAGCAAGTCTAACAATAACATATAATACATAATAATATAAGTTCACATTCTGATCTTAGATCTCTCAGCAATAACATTAGCGCAATTAAGAGATTAGAGGATGATCTACTAGCCAACCTAACGATCTGGGGTCACTACCGTGTCGATATTTTTTCCATAGACGCGTCCAGATTATCAGAATCATAATGAGTACAGCATTTTGAGACAAACCTAATAGATAGTACCCATGTTATTTGCACTTGTAGCATGTACCACGCAACAGTAGAGTGGCACAATGCTTTAATAGTATTCAGTGAGGAGCATGACCTATCAAACTTCGCCCTCTTCAGTTACTGCGACATCGGTGGCACAAGAATCTTGCTCGTCCAATCTTTTAGTCCGCATCAAATTACTACAGATCATGGATTCATACATGTTTAACAGCAATACTTCTACCATGATTAGTCTAATAGGAGTTTACGTCACATCGGTGCCATCTGAAGAGCACTAATCACTAATTCCCTCTTTGGATCCGTTGCCCTATATTTTTTTAACTAATCTTTGTATTTTCTGCGTAATTACCTTACACCTCGGTAGCATAATTATACTTAAACCAAGGATACAATAAGGGACAAATGGTCCTGCGACACGTGTCACCAGTGAAATTGGGTGAAGTGGTGCGACGTTGCCAGACTTTGGTCGACGTGTTGGGCAACATCGACGTCGCAATGAACATAAGCGCGTTGTCGCCATATATGTCAGGCGAAATAGGCTGACGTCGCTTGACATGTCGTCGATACATGTCGTGCCACATTTGTCTCCTAATGTACCCTTGGCTTTAAGCCTAAATTGATATAAAACGTTTGAAAAACAAACCATATATTAGCTAGCATCACTGCTTAGCAAAAGGAGGAGACGGCATCCTAGTCCCCCGCGCTCCACACCATAGGCGATACAAGTGCGTTACCGGCTTTTGAGGGATTAGGAATTTGAAGATTGTTGGGGTTTCAGGGATTGGTGAGATTTTGGTAATTGGGCTTTCGGTAATCTCATTCACACGACGAAACACTACGCAATAGTGTTTTTATACCTTTGCTATCGCCAAAATAATGTAAAATGTAATCCAAATGTAATGAGAGCCACCGTTTTTGCTCACTAGATGGCGATAATGTAAGTCTATTAGTCCAATCACTGTAGCTGTCAAAAATTGAACGTTCAATGGTTTGACACGTGGACAAACAGGTAGACCTCACGGCACATTTCGTGAACAAAACATAGGTAGTCCCATAATCAAGGCGTAATTCTACTCTTATGGTTTCGGAGCCGCGGAAGGCCTAACGGGTTGACACTCGCTCTCGCCTAACCCAAGGCGAGAAAAGTCATTGAATACCTCGTGGTTTGCATATTACTTATAAGCATTATAAATCGATCTTGATAAAGTCTAGCATTAAAATGATTGCACTTACCTTGAGCATGGTGAGTATTTTCTGAGAGAGCTCATAATCGAAGTTGGTGTACTTGGAGTCGGTCATGTCGTATATGAAGACGAGGCCGGCGCGCTGCGTCTCCACCGACTGTAGCGCCACGTCCAATTGGTACACCACACCCTGGACCAAAGAAAGCAATTGTTTATACGAACTCTAATAAGTTTATCGAATCATTTTTTTAAAAGACAATAATTAACTGAATAACTCATTTGAAGAAAGTTGGTGATATTCAATTTTACACTCTCTAGTTGGCGCTAGTAAGGTCGTTTACAAAGTACCACGGTTAGTTATAGTTCATATGCTATTGCATTACTTTTGCAAATGTATAGCACAAAAACGCCTGCTGAGAGCGAGTTGGACTCGAGTGGAAAACACCAAAAATATATAGGTATACTTTTGAAATTTGTTTTGTATTTCGTTGCACAGATGAGATAAAGACTCTACTACTAAGGTCTCACTGCTAAAAAAATAATAAATTATTCCCCTAAACCTGTGGAAAAGAATGATAACAAGTATTAGCCATATTAAACAAATACTTTCTTATTGATCTAGCAATTATTGAACTAGTTGTAATCTATGACTATAATAGACCTATTCATAGAATAATAACACATAGTATGTGTACACACACACAAAGGACTTAATATTATAATTTATAAAGGAAATAATTTATAGAAATTATGAAAATGTGGGGATTTTCCTTAATTAGAATAACAATAAATTATACCGCTAGAAATTTAAACCAATAACAATTGAACACAACATAACATATAGTTGAGTTTTAAAAAACAAATAGGTTGCTGACGAGACGATGATGACGGAGCACCATTTGTTTTTCTCAACACTTTCCCTCATTAACAGACCGATATCTACTAACAACTGGAACGAAATATGAATACTTTAAAGTTAACTTATTTTTCCGCAACAATTTCAAGGCTAATTTGACAAAGAAGTGAAAGCAAATAAGATCAATTTCAACAAAAGCGATAAGTGCCATTACATTTACAACAATTAATGGTGGCTAGTTTTTTTTTTTAATTAATTAGGTTGTCTAGGTTAGCTTACTAACGCAACCATTCGGGGATACTCGACTAGTTTCTAGCAACGCTAGGAGCTCATAGTCGTGTATGCTTGAAACTAGGCGAGCAACCTCGTCGAACTAATTACGTTAGTAAGCCGTACCTGTTAACAGTTAACCGTCGCGTAGGTGACTTAGTGGATTCGTTTTCAACATTTTCCCGGCAGTTAAAGGTTTTTTTAAGATGAAAAGGTATGAATCTAACTTTGACGTTGTACAAGTACGAGGTTAGCGACAGTCACGGAAGACGAGTAGTGTAATCCATACGGTATAGTATACTTAGCTCATGAAAACAATGTAGTTGGAATTTGATATATGAATGTTTAAGGTTCATAAACTTAGCTGTGATTTAAGTGCATTCACGGTAAAATAAGACAAACACAAGCTATAAACATGTTTAGGGTATAAGCAATTAAGTAATTATTAACGTCTAATAAATTAATTCATTTGTGGTTTTATACAGTTTTAGAAGAACTATGATTCACATAAAATATTAAACAACAACATGAGCGTTAATAGCGACTATTTATTGACGTTTATGTTTCAAAATTGCCTGTAATTTTGAAACCGCAAAAACAATCTCTCCCTCTCCCATGTTTATATGAGACAGTGTTGTATAACGATATTTGTGTAATAGAAGCTTATTTAAGTAGTCAATGGCAACCAACCCTTGTAGTTAACAACCAGCTCTAAATCACTCAATCACAATCAAATTTAAAACTTTATGGCATGATTATATAATTAAATTTATAAATTTATACTACTCCACGATGGAAAATATTCATGCTTTTTAACCGACTTCAAAAAAAGGAGGAGATTCTCAATTCGACCGTATATATGCTTCTTTTTTATGTTTGTTCGCCAACATCTCCGTTGTTTATGAACCGATTTTGAAAATTATTTTTTTGTTGGAAAGGAGATAGTTCCAGAATGGTCCCATGATAAGGAAATCAGGATCTGATGATGGAAGACCAGGGAAACCGAGGGGAACTTTTAAAAATTATAGGGGTGACTAGGGCATTTGGTAATTTTTTCATTAAGTATTGAAAACCACTACAATCTGATAAAAGTCTGGAGCTGATCTGATGATGGAGCCGAGAGCCAGTTGAAGGAACCTCTCAATGGTTAACAGTAGCTACCTTGTGTTTGGGTTTGATTATTTGTATTGATGAGGACTTTACACCTGGGTGAGGTGTAATTGTCAATAAGGGTCTGATGATGAAGTAGTACGATAGTTGAGGGAACTCCTCAACGGTTACCAGTAGTTATGTTGTGTTTGGGTTTAATAATTTGTATTGTTTGTATTGATGAGGTCGTTACACCTAGATGGGATGTGATTGTCATTAAGGGTCTGATGATGCAGTAGTAAGACAGATGAGGGAACTCCTCGGCGGTTACCAGTAGCTACCTTGTGTATGGGTTTGATAATTTGTATTGATGAGGCCTTTACACCTAGATGGGGGGGGGGGTAGTTATTAAAGGTCCAATGATGTAGTAATATGATAGCTACGGAACTCCTCAATGGTTAAGAGTACCCATCCGGTGTTTGAACTTGAATAATTTGTATTGATGAAAACTTTGCATCCATGTGGGTTGTGTATAATATAATATATCAAAGTACTAAACTAAAAAGTATAAAATAAAATTAAAACAAAATAGTTAACGGGCAAAGCTGGTATAATGCATAATAAAATTGTTAACAGCTTAATAATATTAGGTATCTATTAAGGTTTTAATGAATAATTTTGTTTAAAACTTGTGGCACCGACTTCTAACCTATCAGTGGGTGTGTAAGCGATGTATAAGTACGTATGACCAATAACAGTTATTTTTTTCCTTTTTAGTTTTCACTTTTCGTTAGTCATTCGTTTTTGAAGTCGGTTTTTTTTAACCACTTGTCAATTTTCCTTATCAGCTATCCATGATTATAACAAAATGCGTGTTAACACAATTTACTGTTTAATATTATTTCACCTATTAATAAATTTTACCTGTTTGTTTATAACATGGTTTACCTGTAATGTTATCTGATGCGTAGTCTGCGTTGGAAAATGTTTGTTTGCTGTAAAAACAGCAATGGCAGCACCGGTCGCATCTCGCGTTGGCTGCAAAAATAAATTCAAACAATTTACTTTAATTATACCAAAAATGCACTTCTGAGGGCAAAACAAAATTGAAATATATATAAAACTGTCAACATTTTCCTTAGTGATAGCATGGTTTTTCCAGTTCTAAATATAATGATTATTAGAGATAGCTTAAATTACTCATTACGTAGTTAGTTTAAGCCCACGTAATGTTTATTTTAAACCATTAGTTATCAACGGTCCTACTGTTCTAGTTTCTTCTCAGTTTGCTCAGTTTGCAGCTTTTAAACTTAATGTAGATTGTAGCAGTAAGTGAACTAAAAGTATCACAAAGTTATCGTATTCATACGATTCAACTAAAATATAATTGGATTGTTCAGGGATAAACTGGAGATTGATAAAAGTCAATCTCGATAAGCCAAGCTAAGTTTATGAAAGAAATGTTTATATTATGAAGATCGCTTACGCTTACCAGTATAGTAAATTTCCCTGTTTCTAATTCAGACTTGAGTGGATCTTCAAATGGCTCGAATTTGTTGAGGCCCTCGCGGCGTCGTGTGGCTTCGTGTTGTCGCCACAAAGCATGCGCACGCGCCACATCAAACTTCCGCGCGAGCAAGAATTTGATCGCTGTGGCTCGCGACACACACGCCGCCCCCGATTCACTCAATGCGTCCAAAAACGCCTTCGTCGCCTGGAAACACAAAATTTTATTAACAACATCATTTTCAGGCAAGCATATAATATAAATTAACAAAATACAGAAACAGTAATGCAATCATAGACTGAGGATCTTTTACAAGAATTCAATCGTATTTACATTTATTTTATTAGACATTGGACTTTTGGAAAGATAATAGATGTTTGGACTTTCGAAATTTCTTTTGGACATAAGCAACCGTAAAATACATAATATGTATAAAATTAAAATTGTTGAATGTACCCGCAAAAATTTAAGGAAGCTCTGGATGATTGCCTCTTCCCACTTGGATCTTCTACGATATTGATTCATTATTACTTTATGCACAGTTGTTGTTTATTAAATAGAACTCGGGTTTCACTTCACCATTTCGTCACACTTTCATTGTGACAACTTTTAAAGTCTCGACTCGGAGCGAAACTATCTAGTCCAATTGAACTGAAGTAAAGTTACAGTTTACAATATTAAGTACAAGATATGCTCCTAAGAGAATAGCAAAATATCAGAAGTTCAGAAGCAAGTGTGATCAGTTCAGGAGCAAATGCATTTGTGAATCTTTTTGTTAATAGAGGTTACCGTTTATCAGTCATACGACAAGAACACGAGATATGTACAATCCTGATCATTTATATCTTACATAAAATCTACTGTTACAAAAGGTTAACGATTCTCAATCCGGTAAAGATCTCAGGTACATCCTGAATCATTTTAATCAAGTTTACAACAGCATTATACAATCTGAATGTCGGGTTCTATTTTAGTTTAGTAGTATGTCAAGAGAAGATCGGATTAATTAGAACGTGCATGGTACGAGTGTGAAGCATACGTCGGGTATAAGAGGCAATAGAGGGACACTCGAGCCCTAAGCGGATGGGATGCGACGCGAGTGTGCGACCGTTGCATATGTATATCGATGCAAATAAGACGGGTACAACGCGGCGGGTTAATTCTTCCGGGATGTATTTCCTGTACGGGCGCGGATGAACCCAGGCCCCAACATTAGTATGAGTGAGCACGCTCCACACATATCACAACTTTGGAGTCGTTTTACATTACGTCACGCTACCACAACACTCAATACACTTATTGGTAACTCGCACACTTAGAACACGCTCGTTTAACTATAACCGTAACACGTTCTCTATATTGCATAGCAACTTCTTCTAGTTTATGTGATTACTTAATACCTGAATACAACTAGAAATTCAAACTAAGTTCTTATTTCAGTAATTCATTCGTGATATTCTGGTTTAAAGTATCACAAAAATAACATAATTCACTGACATTATTTTATCTCTACAGCCTTATTAGTTACTTATTCTCTCTGAGGGAATTTACAAAAACTAAATATTTTCAAGACTTTCCTGCTACAAATAAAGGTGAATCATAATTATATGATAATAGTAGGTACAATAAATATTTCTAAATCCCCCATTGTTTCAATATTAAGTCTTCCTCAATTATTCAATTGGTGATTGGGGAGAGCCAGTAACAAACATTAAACAAAAGAACTAAACAACAGACACTGGGGTTCACGATATACAAAAATATTAATTTATTAAATAAAAAGCAAAAATAGAAATATATTCCACACTGATATTAATTCTCACAGTTATTATTTGTTACACACTTGTTGACTATGTACTAGTATTACGTGCGGCTCGCGGAACAAAAATTAAAACAATGCCTATAGCGTAGGATCGCACGCACGATCGCACGAAGGCAGACCCAACTTGCAACTGTCAAACCGACTAAAGGTAATTGAATGAAATGAATGATCAGAACCGTGCCCGGACCAATAGCATGCAACCGTCAGTGTAACAAACACCACAATAATAAATCATAACTATAAACGACCAATACATAATATTACACGAAGCCTAAAACTATTGCGTGAGTCTAGAACTATATTACACAGCTCTGCGTGGTTAACACCAAATTAAATTACACACCAAACTAAACCGTTTTCAGATATCTGACCGGTAATTATTTAGTGTATCGCGTAAGCGTATTATAGCGTATCTTTCTATACGAGTATTCGTGTAGAGACAAACAGACGCGAAAGGAGACTTGTTTTTTAAAAGCTTTTGTAGGGATATTTTGGCATGTTCTATCTATCTATCTATGCACATAAATTGCTTTTATACTAGGTGATTTGTTTAAAATTTCAATCCAGGTGAAGATAGCTAGAACATGCCATAATACATACTTCTGAAGGTGAATCTTTCTGGACACACCTTCAGATAGAAGTTTAAGCATGTTGGGAACACAAATATGAATTTTTGGACATCTACACCACTACTGCAGTATTGATAAACAAGTATTCAAGTGTATCTTATCTTAAGCTTAGGTAACAAATTAAATTACCAACTTTCAATTGTTGAGACTTGTTTGACTACTTTAGTGCGATATTTTACTGGTGAACAAAATGAAACTAGCTGGTCATCAACTCATCATTTACAGTTGACTGCCCTTTCATAAATAAGAACCTGCCCGCAAAGCGAAATAAAATTCGCGTAGATTTATTTCCGCACCGCATCGCATCTTTATACGAAATCTCAGATTTTTATAGCCTGTGCGGATATTTTCTTTGTAGTCACAGAATCCTTACTTCTTTACTAATATTATAAATCGGAAAGTAAGTTTGTTAGTTTGTTCCGCTTTCAAGCCGTAACTACTAAACCGATTGCTTTGAATTTTTGCAGACGTAAAGTTAAAAGTCTGGATTAAATTAATAATAGGGTACTTTTTATCCCGGAAAAAAATTATATTTTCGAGGGAAAACGAAATTATTGGTATAGATGGCGCTATGTGCATTGGTATATGTCACGAAGGCTACTTTTTATCCTTTTGTGACGCGATCGAAGCCGCGGGTAAAAGCTAGTTGTAAAATAAATACGTATAAATTTTACAGACAGCAACGTAAACTTATTAATAAGAATTAAACTAGCAAGCGAACTGTAACAACCAGGAAGAATCCAGTACAGCTTAGATGTCATGTACCAATTAAATGTGGAAAGTGAACACAAACAAAACAACGAGGTACCTCTCAAGTGCTAAATAGCTTCGAAGCGTGGCAAAGTCAAAAGCCATTGTTTACAAAGTACTTTGTTGTTTTTCTGGTTCAAAAGTCATCTATGTACAGTACACAGTTTTGTTAGTGTTTATTTAAACACGATAATTACAACTTTCTTATAATGTACAATTTCATTAAACACGATAATTACAACTTTCTTATAATGTACAATTTCAATGGGATTTTTGTTTTTACCGACTTCAACAAAAGGAGGAGGTACTGTTTTTTTTTCGCGCAATATTCCGCCATTTTTGACCCGATTTCCAAATGTCATATTGATATAACTTAATATAAAATTGTGAATTAGGTAGCTATTAAGGTTTTAATAAACAATTTTGTATGGAACTTATGGCACCGACTTCTTACCTATCAGTGGGTGGGTAACCTATCAGTACTAATAATAGTTATTTTTTGCTTTTTAGTTTTGACTTTTTGTTTGTTATTAGTTTTTGGTTTTTTGAAGTCGGTTTTTTAAACGTAGTTTTTATTTTATTAACATGACCCAGTGGCGTGCAGTCCATATAGGCGAAAAGGCATTGCCTACCTATAAATATCGTGAATATATAACATACATATAATATACAAACGCGTTTATTAAAATTCAATAATATAATAAAAGTTTGTAAAAAAACGGCTAACATAATACGCGCCTTTGTAAAGTAATGAATGCGCCCCGCACGCACCACGCATGCGCCACTATTCCTTAAATCTTGGTTGGCAGTAGTGACGTCACAAAAGAAATGTACCAAAAGTATGCACCGCGCATGCGTGAAGTTCACGACCATAGTCACGGTACAGAATAACCATTCATAATTATATTACGCGATTCCTGTTGATTGACAAAATGTTTGCAACTAAAAAATTAGAGGACCGTTCGTTCATCACTTGGAAAACGATCGTATTTTATTAAGAATTCTAAATACAATAAAACAACAACAAGTTATTGTATTTTTAAAAACAATTAAATCATAAAAGGATTTAAATTGATAAAATTTGTATGTATATCGTAAAGTACTGATGAATGGAGTACACCAGCGCCATCTATTGAATTTTTTGTTGAAACTTCTGAACTCGTTCGATATAATGCGAATGTATTTTTATAAATGCGTATTTAACAAATATTTTTCAAGTGTTTTAATTAAAGTTTAACATTTTTACGCGTTGTCGGTTTATAGAAATTTTAAACGAGGAGTTGACTTTATTATTATAAAAGTTAAAAGGAAGTTATTGATACGTCAAGATGGCGCCATTTACAACGTTTCAAATTATATGAATGAATGTTTTTTAGTATGAAATATTGGTTTAAGACGATGATGCAATTTCATTTGACTTACTAAATTAACGTTTGTTTTTTTGAAATTAAACGCTGCGTTACCTTAATTTTTAAGCTACATTTTTTTTATAATAAACACTCAATTGACTATTGGTAATGACTTCAATTCATTTCCAATGTTTTCGGCCATATTGTTTTCATGTGATGTGCGATCGCTTTGTTTATGTTTTCGTTTAAATTATTAGGAATTAGTTTTAAACATAAAGTTGCATAAATGTGTAGTAGTAGTTAAATATATGTGTAGGTTTTTCAAATAGTGTATTTGTTTCTCAGTTTCTAGTACAAGTACCTATATTATTCGATTGTGAAGTGTGTGTGAATAATAGGTAATTTTATGTGTTTGTTGAAAGTAAAAACAGTAAGATTTCGCAATGTCCTTTATCGGACTAGATTCAGGTAATGACCATAGGCAGAGGTGTACTCGAGTTACGAGAATTGACCCAAGTAAAAGGTAGGTAATGTAAATATGTACTATAATGGATCTTTTATTTGATTTTCTTGTTTATTGTTTGATAATTCTTAAAAATATCAACTTAGACTTCGGGTTGTACTGATTCACATATTAATTTATTATTAATATTTATGTAATGTAGTAATAACAAATGTACCGCATAGACTCGGCCGGCTCGGCCACAGGCGCCACAGCCGGCCGCGCTTGTTATTGTTTTGTTTGTTGACATAATGTAGGTACCTACGCTCTTAAATTCGTAATATATTATGATTTTGACCAGATTGATTAACCTTAACAATTCCATAATGAAATTTGGTTCATCAAATTTATGCTTCATTATTAAAATAAATAATAGATCTTTCATTATTTGTAAGTTTTGTTGGCTTATTCAATAGCTGATGAAGTACTTCACAAAAAATACGCGAGATGTCAGTGTATGTAATTTGGCGAAACAATACACCACAATATTCTTGAACGCACTTTTCAAAATTTATTATGTACATGTACCTATCTTGTGTGAGCATGATTGTATGACCGGCGGGGGGGAGGGGTTTAATCATACGATATTTAGTTGCCTACCCTGTCTCGAAAACCTGTGCACGCCACTGACATGACCTATTATTTTGGGCCTGATACTTTACGTGTGTATCACAAAGATCGATGTTTGTGCACCCCTCAGATATTAACACCTCACTCCTCAGTCTAAGCTCTTCATCGGTTTACGTCCATAAATTATTATTAAAGTTTAAATACGGTTTACCGCGAACTCAATGCTCTTATTAGAATTGTATACGTGTTATTGGTTCTTAAAATGGCATTTCTTAGAAGAACACCTGAGCAAACCTTGAGTTATATACGTTTAATATGAAAATAATCTGATGATGGAAATATAATTTAAAATACGGCATCTTTGTTATAGTGTAGGACATTTTTTAGAATGCAGGCAGCACAAGGGATAAAATATATTGTTAAAAGTGTGTTTTGTTCGAATCTCATCTAGAGGCCACAGCGAAACAAACTATCCGCCAAGGTACCTCGAAACTCGTACGGTGGGTAGTATCGTTGTAATTTATGGAAACGATTTTATTGTGACTCATACGAAATGAATAATCGTCATTATATACATTTACATATAAGCACATCTCAACTCAAGTAACTACCTAAGTATATAAACTCGGACTTCGTGTCAATGACACAACGCACAGGGATAAAAGAGATTACGGCTGGACAACGAGTATAGTAACGCTCTGAACCACATCTCAACTGACAACGGGTATGGTTCCTTGAGCACATTGTAGTGAGATGTAAGCGAATGTACTCTCATCCATCGTTACACAAACTCTTTTCGTAGGGTAGGTAATTAATTATGTATGTTCCTCAACGTTTGCAACTAAAGCGGAATGATATCACGAAAAATAAGTACTTATACTTATTTTCCGTGATACATTACACACATATCATTACCATTAGGTAATGATTTTTGTTTTAAGTAATTCCATTTTTAAAATTATGTATTTTATTACACCTGAGAACGACACACGAAAAACGCAAACATATGCTTAAATTGGAACTTGGAATATTTGAAAAGAGAAATTAAGAAATAAAAAAAGGAAAACATCTAACTTCACGGTCTCAACCCACTTGTTTGATGGTGACTAAACGATTGTGCACTAACGTATCGATATTCCGAGAACTCGGCATCACAAAGGTTTTGTCGACCACAGCACAGACCCGCATCCTACAGTACGTACTTGTCTACAGGCATGATAAAAACTTCATAGAATGTCTGGTCGTGTAAGAAAAAGTGTAGAGGAAACCATGAGGTAGATCACCTAACCGGGACTGTGTGCCGGCTGCCGGGAATTCCTGTGTCAGGCTGCCCCGACCGCTCTGCCAAGAGGGAAACGACAGAGAACAAGAAGAAAGAGCAAGAGATTGTCCAGTAACATTTAAACATATTTCTTGTAATGGCACTGATGAAATATTTTAAATTAAATTGTTCTGATATATGCTGTTAAACATACGTTTCCCTAAAAAGTAATATCGACCGATTCTAATTATTTCACTTTACAGGTTTTTGAATGTTTCGGTTGTACGGTGTTTTTTCCTACTAGTTTTGGAGTTGTTTGTTGATTACAGTGGCTATTTATAAAGCGATTGATATTTTAAGCCGTTGATTTCGTATTCAAAAATGTTGTGGGAAAGTCCTTACTCTGTTCAATATATTTCTACGAATGTATGCAATTGTTGCGTAGTTTTGAAACCTACACATGTGGGTAACCTACTCACAATTTCATATTGTACCTCTAGTATTAAACGTTTCGAACCGAGAGTATACTCTAAATTATAAGTATTAATAAGTAACTTCGTTTACCTCTTGTTTGGATTAGCTAAATATATTCGAAGATTGTAATATACAAAAAAACCCAAACTTTATATTATAGGTTCACCGTTTTACTTTACACAATATCATAATATTATAAAATACATAATAACTATGATTGTAAAAATAATTGTTACATATATATACTTAGTAAACATTTCTGGTACGTGTGACATTTTAAGAGTAACGCAACGAGTCTGGATCAGAGATGTAACAAAAGCGGAAGTTGGAATCGGTCATCGACCGAGAGATCGATAGGCTATTCTATTTCAGAAGACTGCTAATAAATTGCATACGTTCAGTAGGCGGGGTAAAAAGGTACTGAAATGCATAATTAATTAAGTAAATATTGTAATCAATGCACATCTAACTTTTAAGATGTTGAGTGACTGGCTAACTGACTGTTTGACTGACAACCAACTCACAGCCGAAACTACTGAACTTGAAACTGAAGCTTAACAGATATTTTCCTTGGGGAGTGTAGAGGAATACTAAGAGAGAATTTCTTTAAACTCCTACGGGAATGAGGAAAACGAGGAGCACCTATTTGTACGTACAAAGTCGTTGGCAGAAGTTACTGGTACTACGGATACTAGAATGTAGTCAATTTAATAAAGTAGAAGAGTTTGTTGGTTGAACGCGCAATTATCCGGAAGTACTGAACTAAGTTCGAATGTTACGTGGCCCATTAATCGAGATAGGCTAAACATCTCGCTACGATCAATAGGTGGCGAGCAATGGGTAACACCACGCGGGGGTAGCTACTTATGGTATAGCAAATTCAATTCTCTGTTTTGGGAAGGGATATGTATGTTTCAAACACAGTCCGAAAGTATTATTAACATACCGTCCAGTCCGAACTTTTCATCCGATATTTATAACCAACGTCAACCCAAAATCCTTGGTATGTATCTATTTGACAATAGTTTTTACCATGTTCCTGTCAAAAACTTAGATCCAATCAGAGGTTTGAGATTAAAACAGTTGATAATTTCGGCCACAATTCAAATATTGCAACCACTTTACCAATAAAGCAGTCCAAAAAATATTTACTTTATAACTGTTATAATTACTAATGTAAATAAAAATGACATACATACAAAGAAATATATTAGTAAAACATTTATTTAGGTACCATTTTTAAGTGTAACCATCTGTATACTTAATAAAATTATTTTTATTATTATTCTTACCAAGGCATATTGTCAGGGTTTGTTTAAGATTATTTTTTTTATTTCATATATGAATTAACACAGAAAAATGGTTACTTGGTTATACAACCAGGTCAGTAGGTGATCTAATTTCATCTTCCACCAGGTATATTATGAAAAAAATGAATGAAGATGACCTTAAAATATTACACAAAAATTATTATGAATGAAAAGATATATCAAATAAAGAAATAATGTTACGCTTTTTTAATTCGGCCGAAATTCAAAGATGCACAGTTACAATATATCGAGGGGTAACGGACTATTTAGTTTAGGCGACAATTTGGTCGATATTGAGTTATACATATATTCGGAATCAGCGATTTTTTCTCCGTCGAATATATATATAATAACTCAATATAGCCTAAAATATTGCTTAAACCAAATAGTCCATTACCCCTCGATAAAGGAAAAGCCGAAACTTCAATAATTCTTCTCCTGACCTGGGAACCAGAGACTAAATTTATTCCTGAGATATTAAAAAATGATATTTCGTTTGTTTATTTTTGGTTTGAATACATTATATTTATATGCATATATTTACATCAACTGAGCCTTACTTGAGGATGGGTGGTTCCATGTCCATTCCAGTATTGGAAAATTCATTTATTAATTAAATACTTTTTTGAGACTAATAATTATTGGTAAAATATTTGTATAACATTCAATATGCTTTGTACTTCTTGAAGAAAGTAAACAGAGTGAGACATGTTTCAAATAACATTTAGATAAATTTGGGTAAGTGGCTAAACCACCTGCTCCCTGTTCATTGAGCGGAAAAACATTATAAATTATACAATGCCTACCTATTTAACAGAAAACACACAAATTCTTATGTGATGAAATGTATACTTTGGAAAAGTACCACCAAAGCCTGTATTTTAAGTTAGTTCCTATAAATAAACTGGGGCGGAAATAGGAGGAGCTACGCATATATTGTCAATTCATGTTGACTGTTGAGTACCAAGAATCATTTAGAGCTACGTAGAATAGTTTATCAAGGTATGTAACCGCTGCGAGTTAGTATTTAATGTAGCATTTAAAACAAATTTATGTTTACTAATGCAATAAGAATGTTATATGCAATCAATTAAAGAAATAGAAACTTTATAACTGTAACAACAAGACACGAAGTAATCAAAACAAACATTGGTGACATGGTAAACGAAGCAAGTTTCAACCCACATCCTTTTAATAATTCTTGGAAGAAACGTGATTTTAATGTTACCTGAAAAAATATTCACACTCAGAAGGGCAGAATACATGCAACACAAGCATACATTTAAAATATTAACACAGTAAATTCGTTAAATTACTCACCAACTCTTGATCGGGTGACAGAGCCACCGCCATCTTTGCAATAAACTGACAAAATGACAGCCGAATCTAGTATTGCCGCAACTAAAAAACAACGAGGTTACCAAGTAATAATGGGAAACTGTGCAAGTTTCTTCCTTCAGAAATATTAGTTATTTTATGTAGAATAAAGGTCATCCCACATTTAAAAAAAGCACAACTCCAACCCAGTCATTAAGTTGTCATTTAATTATGAACTTTATATCGTATGTCGTATGATACATTTCGTAACGTCAATACAAAAGCCGACGGCAGGTGCTTAGCGCGCGGTCCACTCGAGGTGTAGTCGAGGTGCCCGCGTGCTTACGGCGCGCCAACCGCGCGGCGTCGGCAAGGCGTCGGTGCGGCGTCAGCGAGTTGACGGCGAGCCGCCCACCGGGCGCCAGTGAAACGACATCGCATCTAGGTAGATAGTTACAAGCTTTCACTTTGTGGCCGGCTCGCCAGCCGCGCGTTGTAAGGTCGCGGTCCGCGCCGACGCCGCGCCGGTCACGCGCCGCCTGCTAGTTGGAAGCACGCAGTCCCCGCGCCGACGCCGCGCCTGAGCCGTGCTTTTTAAATGCGGGATGACCTTTAGGTATACAGCACGTATAATTTTTGAAGAAACTGCATAAACCTGTTGTTTTGACTTTAGGTATCTGCCTATTCTTTTGACGAAGTTTTTCCACACTTTACAGGTCGCCTATGGATAGATATAGACATAAGAAAAAATAGTAGACAATGACACTAAGATAGCCAATGACCAAGTATCAATACCATTATTAAAATCCCCCTCCCAATTAATTTTCACTCACTATTAAACATTTCTACCCTAAACTCATTAACCTTTTGGTAAAATTAATTACTAAAAATAATATTAAAATTTATTGTATAATAAGAGTGCTTAATATAATAATGTTTTAAATGTTAATGCTGTGTGACCCTTTTTTATTTCAAATACATATGCCAACCAAATTGTATCCAGTCTGCCAGCTACTAAACTAACATTACAGTACAGACACGCCTCGAAGTGAATAAAGTTCGAAGCAACACATGACGCTGGCAGAATAGTCAATTGCTAAATAGTGGAGGCTCAATCGCCAGAAAAGAAAAAGAAAAAAAAACATTATTGAAATGTCAAAAAGTAAAAGAAATCAACTTACAGTTTCAGGTTATAAAATTATCTTCTAATTTAATGTATTATCGCAATTATTTGATATAAAATCCTCAACTTTTCTTGACTTACAAAATGTCTACACGTTGGTAAGCACAGTAAATAAACAATAAAAATATATTGTGTTCATAATAGTTTATAGCAATTTAGTAAATTGTTACTGTAAAACGTAAAAATAAGTTTGAATATGTTTTATTTTTTCAGTTAATAAATTATAAAATGTCAATAAATTTATGATAAACACTATTTTGTGATAGATTTTTTGTGTTTCAGGTATCCTATTTATCAAAGGGGCAATCCACAGCTGAGAGTTTTTCTCCCTAATTTCTGGATGAAAATTGTGCACCCACAGAAAAAACAATTACCAAACATTGTTCAATTCCATTGCTCCATGGAAATGACAAAATTTGACATAAAAAATTACTTGGAAAAAATATATCACATCCCTGTAGTTGATGTAAGAACTAAAATAGCTATAGGGAAATTCCGACGAGATGTCGGTAAAGGATACGTAATCAAAGACGATGATTTTAAAACAGCTTATGTTACGTTGGTAAGTAGATGCATGGTAAAACTAAATATATAATTATAAATACACCCTTTGCTCCCCAATTAAGAGGTGCATAGATTATACAATACACAACTTGTATACTAATAGGAATTGATAGAAATGCTTTTTTAGGCCCTAGGCCATTGTAATCATACTGCAGGCAAGAATTATTCGAAATTATTGTATTTATTGTATTGGTGTAAATTTTAACCAGCTATACTTTATTAGTTTTGTTTTGTTTAAAATTTATTATTTTGCTTTTAGCCAAAAGATATGAAATTTGAATATCCAGATATATTTGCGAATAAAAAGGATGATGCGGAAGAGGAACAAAAAGCATTGGGTGATGCAAAGAAAAATTTCCAAAACTATATAGATCGCAATAAACACAGGACAGATGTTCCCAGCTGGTTCACTATATGAACAAATAATTGTATTTAAGTTAGTGTTCTGTTAATGTAGATGTAATTAGCATGTAATAAATATTTTCTTGATTGTTTTACCAAAATATTGGTTCTTATTTATTGCTAGAGTAAATAAATACCTAGGTACCTTGCTTTATTTTAAACTAGCTTTTACCCGCGGCTTCGCTCGCGTCACAAAAGGATAAAAAGTAGCCTATGTGACATATACCAATACACATAGCACCATCTATACCAATAATTTCGTTTTCCCTCTAGAATATCAAATTTTTCCAGTATATAAAATACCCTATTATTTAATTCAGACTTATAACGTTGCGTCTGCAAAAATTCAAAGCAATCGGTTTAGTAGTTACGACGTGAAGGCAGAACAAACAAACTCACTTTCTGTTTTAGTAAGGAAGTAAGGATTGTTACAGATTTATCGAGCTTGTTCTTCACCACTTACTCCATTATAGAGTATTTTTATTGCTATGAACGAATTCTGTAGATTTTTCATTCATTATTTTTTTGTGGAATAAGGGGTTGAACAAATAAATGGAACTTTCATAATAGAGAATGAATAAAAATGCATCACTAACTTTTTATAATCGCTTTATTCAAATATTTGAATTTGTGAGTACAAAAAGATTGGTTCATCAAACTAAACCAAACAAGGAACTGTGGAAAGAGAATTAATTACAAAAGAAATTAACAAGTTTCAATATTTGCTACTACAAACATTGTCTCATTAATATTTACATTGCTCTGCAACTCTCCAAGACTTATTACTATAGGACTGGCAATCAACACCATTAATCAACTAAACAACATTTTTACTCATTTAAATCAATATTTAAATGGTATAAAACTAAAATATTTATCATTATGTATCATAATATTATATGTATAATAAGTTGCATTAACAATTAACTTTATTACTAAACATTAAATCAATAATGTTCTTGATAATAAATAACTTATTGTTAATGCAACAATACTATTTTTTCAATAATTATCATTAATATTAATTACTTTAAAAAAAATAAAGTCATTAGGTTATAGGTTTCCTGAATACTCATCCAAGAACATAGAAGAATGGCAACGGGGGCATTCTCCTATATCCAAGAGGAAAGTTACCTGTAACAAATTATTACACATGTTAACTTTCTTGTTGCAATAGACTTATAAACAAGATTGACAAGGGAACATCATCATGTAAACAAGACAAGATAAATTAAAAATGCTGGTACTATTTAATACACATATTTTTATTAAATCCCCGTTACTATACAACAAAACTTCATTATATCCGTGAGTACAAATTCTTATACGAGTAAACTTTATTTCTTTACGATATAAATACCCTGATATGAAAGACAAAGGAGTTTTGTAGTAGAATGACGTCATTTGTGAGAGATTAGAATAATGTAATAAACACATTACACTTCCAGAGCAGCTTAGGATAAGGACGAAGTTTTCCTTGCCCATCTAGTATACTTGAGAGTTTGCACATAGTTCTCGTTTTATTTCGGAAGAGTAAGTAAATATTATGATAGAAACTCGTATATCACTTAAGTATTTTAAATATAAGTACCTACAATTAAAAAATATTCTTACCCGAGGATGTATTTCACATTTTAGGCGTATTCTTCCATTACAATAGTAGCCGCAAGATCTGCAAAAAACAATGGTTTTGTCTCTCTTGCAAGAACATTTCTTTGAATAAACATCCTTTACTTCTGGAACACCACGTCCCAAGCGGTTTGGAATTTTATAAGCTTTTCCTGCAGCCGAAGCCACAGCAGGCGTAGATTGAGACTTAGTATCCATATTTTAAATGTTATAATGAAATTTATAAACAAATATTAGTATCACAGCTTTTATGTGTTAAAATATCTTTAAAGAGACTACTAGGTATTTAAAATATTTGGCGGGTATCAGCATAAAATGCAGACAAAGACAATGATCAGTCGTTTGACATTGACATAATTCTTGACTATGACACCTCATATCAAAAGGAACATAGCGCAAAACCGTACTGCTTTTATTAAAATTTTAAACTTACTTTGCTAATCATTGGATAATTAGGTCTATCATGTGATTTTTATTTTTTTAAATATTAATACGGTTTGAAATTATGCCATGCAATAGGCTCAATCATGTATGTCCCTATACTTATTATATTCTTTGTGCATGTCTCATCAGAACTGAACACAAATATTAGCTACTACGGCATACTGACGAAACCACTGGTTGCAGCCTCTTTTCATATTTTTGTGCTTATAGCCAAGTTTTAATTAAAAAATTAAATTTTTAAAGAATGGGTGGCAAGGATTACGGTGACGATATATTATTTAATAATTAACTATGTATTTATACGATGTATTGTCTGATAATGACTACGTCCCGTGCGTGTATAGGAAAATGAGATAAACGATAGGTAGGTACCTACTCAAATTGATACTTAATGATGAAATTAAACCACATAGATTTCTCTTTAAATCACATAGTTTCTAATATCACTATCACAATAGGTACCTATAAGTAGTTACTTAATATTTAAGTAATAAAATATCTAAACAAAAGTAAATCACTTTTATTTTTAGAACAAATAAACTTAAACTTCTTTCACTCAAACTAAACTCAGTTTGACACTTGTTATGACCCTTTAGTCAAAAAGTAAAAAAAAGAAAAGATACTAAACGACTATAATATATAATACCTACTTTAAATTAAGTATAAACTATGATCGTAATCACAAGAATGCAGAACAAGAGGCGACGACTAGTGAAGTAACTACATAAATACTGATAAATAATAAATAAAAATTACAGATTATACCAACACGAAATTACCTATTAGTAAAATAATTAATAACTTTAAAAACGAAACTAAACCGAAACT